TTTGTTTTAGTTAAAAGGCGGCGTCTTTGTTGATTGCATGCACAGTCTCTTCCACATGCATGCCTTATCCATACAACAAACTGAGAAAATGAAACCCTAAGAAACATTAACGTGTTTGTGATCTGAGAGAAAATACAGTACAATTATAATCATTTTGCCGGATACATCAGGCAGTGACCTGCTGATAAATGAACATCAGAAAAAGCACCTCGATTAAATCTAAGCTCACTCCAGATGCTTCGAGTAAAAGAATCAAGGACGTCTCTCATCTGAACAGATCAAGGTTAAGTTAGAGGTGACACACTTAAGTGTAACACCAAGAGAATTCATGGTGAGCCTTAGATTACAAAACTGCCTGTTGTCTCTGCTGTGATTTCATAAGAGGCTTTGAGAAATATATCTCTGCGAGTGTGTGCTGTTACAACACTGATCTTCAGCACTGATCCAGAAGTCTGAGGGCAACAACACTTGTCATTAAGGCATGTCATTCAGCACAGTGAGGAATCCTGTTTGTAAACAAAGCCATGGCAACCGTGGGACTCTCACTCTCTCACGCTCTCTCTCTCTCTCTCTCTCACAAGTTTGCACACCAAGACTGACACGCACACACACACACGCCACACACACACACACACACACACACACACACACACGCCACACACACACACGCAACACACACACACACGCCACACACACACGCAACACACACACGCACACACACAGAGCAGCAAGCTTATTCTAAACTAGTCCCCATCTTGTCATCTGCCTGGATATGACCCAGAAATACAGTCACTGGAACAAATAGGCCACTGTCATATTAATCTCCACCTCTGTAAATTGATGGAAATATGATTTGGTGCGTTCACAGTAAGCCATGTCTCCGTGCTTTCTCTCTCTCTCTCTCTCTCCCTGTGTGCGTATGTGTCTCTCTGTCTATCCCTCACAACGATAACTTGACCTCCCCTTTTCTTTCCCACAGCGAGCAAACGAGCAAAACATAACGCGGCATAAAGGAAAATAACTTAGACCGTGGTAATTGCATGCTCAATTCAAAAAGACATAAACAGGTAAAGGAACAAACAAAGCAGGGTGAAAAACAGGAGTATTCACTTGCAGATATTCTCAGTGAAAAGCTCTGAATGGCGGAGTCTGACTAAAATTACAGAGATTCTGTAATTGCAGCTTCAGATAAAGCACAGCACTTGGCAGGTAGAGTAGGAGTCTGCAGAGATGTGCCCTCATTTCTACACCGACACAGCGCTCGCCTGTGAGTGTGTGAGTCCTGTTAAGCATTCATGCGTGCTTGAGAGTGTGTGCGTGTGTGTGCACTTGTTTGTTTGCGTGTCAGACGTGCCCTGTGTGTGTGTTTCGGAAGTGTGCGCGTGTGAGAGAGGGGAATAGGTTTGAAGGGTTAATTAGCGTGCTGTCTTAAACGGTGTGCAGTGACAGGAAGACAAGACAGGCTGTCCTTGCCAAAATCACCTCTACACATGCTGCTCCACCTGCACACACACACACACACACACGCACACACACACAGTATATATGTGCATATAACACAATGTGAGGACATACACTTATTCTCCCCCACTCAGCACCTCAGTGCCCATCTGAAGCTCATACACACACACACACACACACACACACACGCCTAAGTCAGTAAAGCCAAATCAGTTTTCCCGTTGCTACAGCAACAGCATACTTTTATGTCAACTGCAACCTAGTTACTATGGAGATATGTATACAAGAGAAACTCTGTGCCGTTGTAGTCAAGGGCCAGATGACAGCATAGCGTGAGGGTGTGTGCACAGACACACACATGAATACAAGCACACACACACCATGTCCTCTTCATCCTTCATCCATTTTGTTCCTCAACACACACACACACACACACCCAGCTCA